TCTGCGTGGTGGATTTTTTGTGAGGGTGAGGGAGGACATGTGTGATATTAAAGTATTGTTATGAGTACTTAAATTTTGGTGGAAACGTTTATACATTATTTTGGCTATTTCAGTGGTAGTTAATATGTTTAAGTCATTGTGTAAGGTAGAGTTTGAAACGTACCAGGGGGCTTTGGTTACTAACCTTAGCGCAATTGATTGAAAAGCCTGAATTGGCCTGATGTTCGAGGGTTTGATTGGGCCCCAGATTGCTATTCCATAAGACCAGACTGGTCTTATGATTGACTTACATATAATAAGTTTGTTTTGGAGTGGTATTTTGGTGTTGAGGAGTRGTCAGAGGAGGTGAAGTCTATTGTTCGCTGATTTTCTTTTTTCTTTTAGGGGGCCCCAGGCCTAAGTATTTTATTTCGRTTYAGACAGGGATGGAGGCGTTGTTCATGATTAATTGAGGGCATTCGCGGGGAGATTGTTTTAATGTGAAAGTAACTTGAACAGATTTGTCAGTAAYTATTTTGATTTTCCATTGTTTGGCCCAYTCGTCTATTTTATTAGAATGATCCTGGAGTGCAGCTGAAGCTAGGATAGGATTTGAACTAGAGGAAAGAATAGCTGTGTCATCGGYGTATGTTGCAAGAAGGGTGTTACAAGATTGAGGAATATCTGCTGTGAATATATTATATAGATTAGGGGATAAATCACTACCCTGCGGAACTCCAGCATAAATTGAGTGAGTAGATGAGATATCGTTACCCTGTCGTACGACAAAYGAACGATTTTGTAGATACGRTTTTATAATAARATARTAGGGAGTCGGTAAAGATTTAATTTGTATAGTAAGCCATCTTTCCAGAATTTATCGAATGCTTGAGCAATATCTAAAAAAAGTCCAGAACAGTATTCTTTGTTTTCGAGAGCAGTTGAGATTTCGTCGGTAAGACGATGGACTTGATGAATTATTGAGTGCCTATTTCTGAATCCAAACTGATTATTTGGTATGATTTGGTTGTTTTGAAGGATGGGACGTAGTCTTTTCAGGAGGGCCTTTTCAAAAAGTTTACCAAGAACTGGGAGTAAACTTATGGGACGGTATGATGAAGATAAGTGTTTAGATTTATTTGGTTTGGGTACAAGTATAATGACTGCGAATTTCCAGATTTTCGGGAAGTGAGATAATTTTAGTCAATGGCGTAGT